AAACATAAATTTTGTGAAAATATTAAGTTTTACATGAATAAGCATAAATCAACCATAATGTGCAACTTTTTAGTAATTTATAGCCTAACACATGGCTACAAATATGTTCATCATGATAAACAAAATTATCTTAACATATACAAGCACACAAAAGCAAAAATAAGCTTAAAAATTTATATTTTTTCGGTTGATTTTTCAGATTTTTTTGCACGCAAACAAGTATACAAACTAGTAAAAACTCAATACTTTCTACCCCCAAACTTATAACAGACATTGTCCTCAATGTCTAAAAATATATCAAGCAATATATAAAAATTAAGGACAAAAAAGGGAACTAAGTACTCTCCTAATATAAATCTGCATGTGGTGGATAGATTGGCATGAAAGTTCCGGCTCACTTGCTATGTCTTTCCCTTGTCCAGTGTGTCCAAGTACTGTGTTCCTTCAAAATACTTAGAAAATCAATCATAACATGGAATACTTTATAATAAATTCAAACACAACCTAGAGGAAAATATGAGGTTGAAGATACCCTATACTACTAAAAGCAATAAAATTTATTAAATTACTAAAAGCAATGAAATTTTCTTATCCTATATTTTAGAAAACAAAAATAAACAAAAGAAAAGAAAACTGGGTTGCCTTCCAATAAGCGCTTATTTATAGTCATTAGCTTGACCTTATTGTTTTGGCTATTCAAGGTGGCTTGAAAAGAGAGTTTTCAACCTTGCACCGACTGCACTAATAGTTATGTTTCAATTCATCTTTGGGCCTCCGAATTACAAGATTTTTATTGTTGTCTTGCCCAACAAGTCCACCTTCTTCCTTCATGTTCTTGTTGTTTCCCCAATGGCTAATCTTTTGACAGTACTCAATGGCCAGTGGTCGCTTGAATGGTGCATTCATTGTGAAGCTTTGTTTTTTTTTCCACCCTTAAGGTTAAATTATATTTCTCAAAATCCATTAATTCTCGTGCAGTTGCTAAGAATGGTCTTCCCAAAATTAACAGCATGTGTTGAGCATCTATATCAAGGATGATGAAATCAACAAGAAAAAATTATCTCCAACTTTGACGAGCATATAAGGTTGCTTGAGTGTCCTATCAGCCAACTGTAGAATTATTGATGTAGCTTTTGGATCTTTCAATCCTAATTTCATGTAGATAGACAGTGGCATCAGATTAATATTTGCTTCAGAATCAATTAAAGCATTTAATTATGTGAATTTCCTATAGAGTAAGGTACAGTAAAAACCCCCTAGATATTTTAATAGGAAAAAGCATTTGCTTTATGATTGTGCCGCACTCTTCAACCAATGCTACTGTTTCATCTTCTATAGCTTTCTCTTCTTGGTCAACATCTCTTAAAGAAAAATTTTGTAATTTGAAATCTGTTGAATGGCTTCAATGAAAGGAATATTAATGTGAAATTGTGTAATGATATCCAAGAACTTCTTAAATTGCTTTTCCAAATTATTGTTCTGCAACCTTTGAAGGAATGGGACTGGAGGTGCGTATTTATTGATAGGAGTGGTTCTTTTAACATGTGGACTATCTGCCTATTTTTCTTGATTAACCTTTGCTAAATCTTTGGACTGAACCACTTGTTTCTCCCCTGTGGTATGTACCCGATTCTTCTCTATCCCTTTATTTTCACTATAATTTTTGGCAGTTGAACTCAGCTTTTCATTGTGATGGCTTGAACTTTTTTCTCTTTAGGCTATCTTTGAAGCCTTCGAGGGAATGAACTTGGCGGCACATAAGCTCGAACAGGGGTGGTAGGATTGATTGATGGTACCTCAATAGTTGCATGATTCACAGCTTCAACTTCTAATACTATTTTCTTGGGTTCTTTTCTGTATAGCTTGGCAGGATATCCTGTGTTATATTAGCTAATGCGGTTGCTAGCTGTCCCACCCGATTCTCCAAATTTTGGATTGAAACTTTATGTTTCTGGACTGCAGCCTTAGTCTTAGTAATGTACTTAGCAAGTAGATTCTCCAAATATGACGTGTTCTCCTATTGCTACTGTAATTCTTGTAGGTTGCCCTGAATTTGATATCATGTCCTTGATTATTAGCTCATTAGAAGTTAGGATGACTACCCCAATTTGGATTATAGGTGTTGGAGTTAGGATTGTTTGGCTGTCTTTGAATATTCTGTGTATAACTTATTTTTCAGACCGATACACGTGTAGAGGTTAAAAGACAGCTTGCAGTTGCATGATCTGCCCTACAGCCCCCACATGCTGGTGCTAGTTGGTGCGCCGTGCTCACATTCAGAGTAAGTTTGTCCAACTTCTTTGTTAGTACTTTCAGCTGGGCTGTCATTGCTGTCACTGAATTTATGTTGTGAATCTTCGCTGTTTTTCTTGGCACTTCCCTGTCTATTAACCACATAAACTGATTTTTTGCAATTCTCTCAAAAAGGTCTCTAAGTCATTGTCCAATAGAATATCTAAGATTGACATTCCTGTTGAAGCATTGGCTATGTTATAGAAGGTCTCAGGCTTGAATAAAATATATAGATTTTAGAGTCTTCAAAAATGTTTAGATTGGGGCACTTTTTGAAGCAATTTTTGAATCTTTTCTATGCTTTTGGATAGCTCTCAAAGTCTCTTTGCTGGAAAATATGGACTTCGTTTAGGATCTAATGAACTCGAGACGACAAGAAGAATTTCAAAGAGAATTTCTGCATCATGTCATTCCATAAAACGATACTCCCAGGATTTATTGAATTTGACCATTCTCGTGCACATTCTTTTAAAGTATGAGGGAATAGCCGCAGTCGAAAGGCATTAACAGATATGCCTTCATGGTTGATCATATTCGCAAAGCATCAAGAAGGACTGAACATGTTCATGAGAATTTTCATTTGATCTTTTAGAGAACCTAATGTATTGAAGACGATGAAACAAATTAATGACATCTGGTTAAATGTGGAAATTGGCCTACCTAAAAGGTGGATATATAGTTGGTGCACAAGAACTAAGGAGGGATTCACATAATCTCTAAGAGTTTCTACACTGTTGGCTGATGCTCTTGGTGGATCTTGTTGATCTAACGAATCTGTTGGTAGCTAAATTTGATTTTGATTTGCCACCATTTTTCTAGTTTCTCTCTATTCTTGTCTTCGTTGTCTTGAAGTTCATTTGATTTCGAGATCCAATAATAGGAGCTCAGTTTCTCAATAATCTTGTATAAACTGCCCAAAACAGAAAAGAGAGATTATGTGTGTAAATAATAGCCTGAAACAACGAAAAAAATTCAAATTCTATAAGAATTAATAAACTCAAAGTAAATATTTTATTCCTCGACAATGGCGCTAAAACTTGTTCGTGTAAAACCTGCAAGCGTACGACATCTTTGACAAGTAATAGAATTAATGAATTGAGAGTATCGTCTCACGTGAAATAAATTTAATTTAAGTTTATCAGTTACGTATGAAATTCGAATTATATAAATAAAAGAGAATTTGATTTTTTGATTATTCTAAACTAATCTAATAAAGTAATAAAAGTTTGGTTTTTATAAAATTATGGATGATTGTATTGGATTTCTAATCCACTTATTGTTATTTATTTCAATTTTTGATTCATAATCTAGTTCCGTTTCTATATTAATAACAATGGATAAAGCTAATGTATTTAACTTTCTCTTTCAAGACAAATTATTTCTATCCTAACCACTGCCTGAATCTATTCTTAGTCCGAATTCTAGAATGCATTAAATTTTAGATTATTTATATGATTGGAAACGTGATAAATGTTATTCTTAACGTTTATTGCACATATGTTCATTTTGACGCATTCTAAATTTATTGTGAGTCTCTCAACACTACAACAAGAAATTAATTATCTAATTGATGGCCAAACGATTAACTAATGCAATAGGTATGCAAAATCAATTAAGAAACACAAGAATTATTAAATTACTAGTTTTGAATTAAAAATAAATGACAAATAGGGTTTATCTTCATCCAATACAAAGCGAATCTAGCATAACACATTAATATATAAATTACAAAAAATAATAGAAAAATATGACCCGAATCATAAAATAGTTCAAAAGATGTTAATCTTCAAGTCCAAAGTTGAATTCTTCAAATTTTTTTTTAAATATGTAACTGAGTTTCAATTCCTTGCTATGGCTAGATCTCCTTTCCCAAAAGCAAAGAATTGACCTCTTGTTCTTAATGAATTTGATGATATTATTGTGTACGAAGAAGCAATAGAGGGTTTTTCTATGTATAACCCTTGCTCTCTATTTATAAGAGCCAAAAAATAGGTCAAAATTGCATCCAATTTAGGTTCTAAAAAAAATTAAATTGCAAAAGGAATCTGTTGATTAGTATGTAGAAAAATACGCGCGCCATTTTGGACTATGTCGTCATTAGAAGTTTTCAATATTTTGATCATAACTTTCTCTCCTAATGGTCGATTGAAGCGATTCAAAGTGCGTTATAAAGCTAATTCAAAGAGTTACAATTCTTTTTGAATTACAATTTTTCCAATTATAATGTTTTCTATCCCAAAAATGAGTCTTAAGTTGAGGTAAAAAATTCAGAGCATAATTTCTTTGGCTGGAAATTGATTTGTGAGAATACTTCAATTCTATTTCACTATTTTGATCTCCAAATTGCATCCAATTGATCATATGTGATCTTCAATCATCATGTTATGGTCCAAATCAAATATTGAAAGTTTACACTTTGGTCCCAAAACTTTGGATTTCTTTTATTTTTGCTCCTTTTTGGTTCCTCTCTTCCAATTCCATCAATTTGAGTTCAACCTAACAAACATAATTAAGTTATAACTCATTCAAATCACTACAAATACTCCAATTTACTGGCCTAGATAAGTATACGAAATACACTTACCAGAAATCATTCTTCTCCCTTTGTTATTGGATTTCTTCATTAGCCCTTAAAATTAAGAGTATAAAATCATTCTTCTCTCTCGTTACATTATTGACTAGAGAAAAAAGAAAGAACAAATTAGCGATTATCCACCTCCCCAGGAATATGATTCTGGGAAAAAAAAAATATAGCTTTATTAGGAATCTTTGGTATCATACATTAGTCCACAACAGAATAAATTCTTTGAACACTCACAATCCATTAATTTCATCTCTCAAACTAGTAACATATGTACTAATCTCAATATATTATTATTGCCAACGAAACGAATGTTTGGTGATTATATTTGTCTCCACAAAAACTAGACTATTCTGCATGCATTTGGATTTTCATCGCTAAAAATTGAAGTAATATTTCCATTGGATCCAGCTCGATTCTCCTCGTTAGTGTATGTGTATTGATCTGCAGGCCTATTGTAATATTGTGAGTGGGCAGGTGGCGACAGCCTGTTGATATATGCATAATCTGTCACATAAGGTGTTGGCTTGTAGGCATTGTAACTGTGAGCCTGAGACTGCTCGACTCTACCATGTTGATTCCCTTGTTCACTATAGCCATAGCCCCATCCATCTGGTGCGTGGTGGTGGATCACATGAATTTCTTCGATATCTTTTGGTTGAAGTGGAGGCTGGTTTGTTGGAGTACCATTAGCAGCTTCAGATGGTGGATTTTCTGGGAGTGGTGATTCTTTTGGTGCCTCGGCTTGTGGGGCTGCTTCTGCCGTGGGCTGGTTAGTGGACTCAGGTTCTCCACCATCTGGTGCTGGTTCTGATGGTTGATCATCAGATGGTTCTGAATGTGAACAAATGATTGCAGTTTTTCTTGTTTTCTTAATGGCTTTGGCTATTTTTTGAGGATCTGCCAACCCAATTATTGTTATCTTTTGCTGAGGAAAATCAACGTAGAGATCATATATACCTGCGACATATAAATGTTTTGCATGAATACGGATTAAATATATATATATATATATAATTTTATTTTTTTTTAAAGGCACAATATTTGCATTGTTTATTGAAATTAATTGACTTACCATTGATGCCATGCAAGGCCTTCTTTATCTTCTGCACGCAGCCATTGCAGTCCATCCGAACCTGTATCTCTGTGACTCGAGGTTTCTGCAGTTTGTAAAATTTAAAAAGAATTCAATTATAAATGTGTTCGAAATACGAAAAAACTAATTATGAAAATGATTTTTGTAAATTAATTTATTCGACATAAATTTTAAGACGTACCTCCATTTCTGGAAGAGTCGTGGAGATTGGAGAATGATGCTGCCGGAACAAATTAAGGTTCTCTGTAGGCTGGACAGAGTGGGGAGTGTTAATAGAGAATCAATATATCACATTCATTTGTCCATGGAGAAGGAATATTTAAAGTAATTTTATGTCGTGGGACTTGCAAAGAATTTGCTTTTGAGTGGTTACATTCGCTCATCTAAGTTTAAGATGTTTCGTGCAAGTCAAATTGATATCATCAAATGGTCAAATCGTGTAGGATACTGGTAAGACTTGAACTCAATAACAACTCTTCATTTAAAAATTTGAACCGTTAAGCCTGATTAGCTAAGTCCCCCATAGTCCCCAAGTGTGGGTCCTTTATTTGGACCCTAGAATGTTGAGGGGAATATTTTACTTTAATTTGGATGGTTACCTGTAGCTGGCCATGGAAAAGATATGAAAAGTAGTGAGAGCAGAAGATTGGATTCATCAACAAAGTCAACAAAAAGAAAGTAGCTTTATAATTCCACTATTTGGGAATCATCTTGTTACAAGAAAGAGATCATCATTTCCAAATAATGAGATGTATTCTCACAACTTACAATAACAAATCAAATTATGCATAAACACGAGGATTCTCCAAGAGGTAGGCTTCAACAACTTTGTATATGCCCATGGCACTGTCTTTGCCTGCCTTGATTTCATCTTCCTTGACCTCCAAATTTCCAATGCTATGGTATTCACTAGCCATCTTACAAATGCACCTGTGCAACAAATCCACCTACAAATCAAATCAAACAATCAATTGGTTTAGGATTTGTAAAGATTCAAGGAAAAGAAAACAAGACCAAAAATGCATAAAATTGAAGAATGATTTCCCCTTATTGATTCGGCTCAGAAACTCGATCCACACCACAAAGGTATTTTCAATTTGAAGGCCATTTTTAGTCACAGACAAATTCACAAAGAAAGGCAGAGGAAGTGTCGTGTATTGCACAAAGCAAGGAAAGTTCCTTCTTCTTGGTTTTTCTCTCAGATTTTGGTGTGTATAAAATGAAGGTGAAGGCTCCAATTTATAGGCTTAGTAAGGAGAATGAATTTCCCAGGAATCTTGCAAGATTAGGATAGAAGATTTGCAAGATTATGTTAATCCAAAAAGAGAGAGTTCATCCAAGACACGATAAGGGGGTTAAAAGAAAAGATATCGATTTATTTATCCATATTTTCTTGTGATTTTAAATTACCTCCAAGTTGGGTATTGAACATCTAGTCCAATGAACTGATTACCTCTAAATATCCAACATAATTGGACTACTTCAATTGTGGTGTGAATTTAATTCTTCAATCCTGGGCTTATAGCCTATGAAGTTAAAATGGGCCTCGATTTTTCATCATCGCCTAGAGGATTTGGGCATCACTTAACAAACATGCCCAACAATCTTCACCTTGATGCCAAATTACCCTGCAAGTCAGATAAGATAACAAATAGGTTAAGGGAAAAGACTTACAAGTTTGTACCGATGTCTAGAAGATCAAGACAGCTTCTAAACTTTACAAATGGGAGTACCTTAGTTCCCATATCTGCAGGATTATATTCTGAAAGGACTTTCTCAAGTTTTACCAGTTCTTGAGAAACCATATCTCTAATGAAATGTAATCTAACATCTATATGTTTAGTACGTTCATGAAAGATAGGATTTTTGCATAGATGAATAGCAGATTGAATATCAGAATATATTGTCACATTATCCTTAAAAACACCAAGTTCATTTAATACACATTTAAACCACAAGAATTCTTTAAATGCTTCAGTAGCAGCAATGTATTCTGATTCAGTAGTGGATAATGCAATAACATGTTGAAGTTGTGATTTCCAACTAACACGTGAATTACACAAAGTGAACATGTAGAAAGATGTAGACTTCCTATTATCTCTATCACTAGTATAGTTAGCATCAGTAAAACCTTTCAATTTTATGCCTTCAGTATTAAACTTATATATTAAGCCAACATTGTATGTTCCTTTCAAATATCTAAATAATCATTTCAAAGCCTCCTAATGTTTGGGACCCGGGTTGGACATATATCTGCTAAGTGTACTAACAACAAAAGCTAAGTCAAGTCTAGTACACACAAGTAGAAACATCACAGAACCAATGACATTTGTATATGGAATTCATTTCATATATTTTTTTCTTCTTTATTAGCAGGTGATTGTTCTTTAGATAATACAAAGTGATTAGGTAAAGGTAATGTAATAGGTTTACATTCATTCATACCAAATTTCTTCAAAATTTTCATGATATATGGAGCCTGATGTAAAAATAAAATTGATTTAGACCTATCTCTTTGAATTTCAATGTCTAAAATTCTTTTAGCATTACCTAAGTCTTTCATATCAAAATCATTACTTAAAGTAGTTTTTACATCATTTAACAACTTCAAGTTGGGACCAATCAAAAGCATATTGTCCACATATAGCAACAAAAACACACAGTCATTATTGTTTGCATTACCTTGATAGTACAAGCAATGATCAAATTCACTCTTTTTAAAACCAATTGTTTTAACAAACGAAATCAAAACGTTTATACCATTGTCTAGAAAATTGTTTTAAACCATATAAAGAGCGTTTAAGAAAATACACATGATCAGGTTTTTGTTTATTTTCAAAACCTTTAGGTTGATCCATGAAAATCTTTTCATCAAGTTCTCCATGCAGAAAAACAGTTTTAACATCAAGTTGTTCAAGTTCCCAATTGAAATGTGCAACTAATGCAACCACAGTCCTAATTGTGGTATATTTAACAACTGGAGAAAAGATCTCATTATAATCTACCCCTTCCTTTTGTGTGTAATCTTTGGCCACAAGTCTAGCCTTAAACCTCAAACCGTCTCCTTTGGTAATTCTCTCTTTAATTCTAAAAACTCATTTACACCCAATTATTGACTTGTCTTTAGGTATTGGGACTAATTCCCATGTTTGATTATTATCGAGGGAATTTATCTCTTCTTTCATTGCTTTCACCCAATCCTCAAATTGTTCACTCTTTAAGGCTTCTTCATACGTGTTTGGTTCCCTATCAACTAGTTCTTCATAACTAGCATAAGCAATGTCAAAATCAGACTATAACCTTTGATGCACTCTATGTGTTCTTCTAACTATGTCTCTAGTTAACTGATAATCAAACAAAGGATTTTGCTCTCCTTGATATTCCACTATAGCTTCACCTCTCTCAATATTTTCACTCTGATTTTCTTCTAGTTCAGGATTTTGATGCTCCACCTCAATTGAAATGGTGGGGGTTTGAACACTTAAGGACCTTAAATTTACTTGAGATTCGTCACTAATGGTTTCTTGCTGTTTTTCTCTCAAGGTGTCACTTTCTGATTTTAGACACGGCATTTCAGACTCACTAAATGTAATATCACGACTTATGATGATCTTAACTCCATTTTGATTTCTATCCCAAAGCCTATACCCTTTAACTCCTTTAGGATATTCTAAGAAAACACATTTCCTAGCTCTAAGGTTCTAGTTTTCCCTCATTTTGATGAGAGAAAGCAGCACAGCCAAAACTTTTTAACATAGTATAGTCATCACATTTACCATACCTTTGTAGGATTAGTAGCAAGCCCCCATAAATCAGTATGAATATATTCCAAGACTTTAGTAGTTATATGCATACCAGATGAAAAAGATGACCTATGATATTTACCAAGTACACAGTGATCACAGAAAGGCGTATTAGACACACAGTCTTTTCCAAATACACGTTTATCATTTAGCAGTTTAAGTCCTTTAATACTTATGTGAGTTAATCTATTTTGTGCCACTTGTGTGTGTCATCAGTGTTGGTCAAATTTATAGAAGAAGTTGAATTTTTAACAATTTTAGCAGTGGTCACATAAATACCGTTTCTTTTAGTACATTTACATGTGACAATAACACCCTTAATTATTTTAAGTATGTTGTTTCCAATTTTACCTGTAAAACCATCAGTTTCTAATGCTCCTACTGAAATAAGATTTCTAGCCATTTCAGGAATATATCTAATTCCATGTAATTTAAGCACAGAACCAGTGTCAAATTTCGTGATATCACCAATGCTAGCAATTTTATATGCATGATTATTGCACAAAATAGCATGACCACTTTCAGATTCTTGCATATTTTCAAACCAGTCTTTATGTGATAAAACATGAAATGATGCACCAGAATCAAGTATTCATTCATTTAAATGTGATTTCACGGTCAAATTTACTTCATTAGGTTCAGAGTTTAATAACACATATACTTCACAAAATTCATCAGAGGAAGTAATAACATTTGACTCATCGTGAATCTTTTCCTTTTGTTTGTTTTTCTCAACATAACAATCTTTAATGAATTGTCCAGGTTTACCGCAACCATAGCATTTTTTACCTTTAGTTTTATTTCTTGACCTAGATAAACTTCTACTTTTCTTTTTACTACCAGACACGTATCCACTTTGGTTATCACGGGTTCTTGACTAAGACCTACCTCTCATAATATGAACCTCACCACTTCTTCTCTCGACTCTCTAAGCTCGCATTTCCATTTCTTTACTTCTTAACGAGTCTATGACAATTTCAGGTGTCAAAATATCTCTCCCATATTTAATAGCATTTTTAACATCTCTATAAGTTCCAGGGATAGCATTTAACAAAATTATTACCTTATACTCTTCAGATACTTTTTCACTACAGTTAGTGATATCTTACACGAGTTTATTAAAGATATCCAAATTATCATCTAAATCTTTTGAAGAGTCGATTTTGAAGCTTAAAAAGCTCTCAAGTAGAAAAAGTTTGTTTGGAGTTGACTTAGACACATAAAGTTCCTCCAGTTTTTTCCAAAGTTCTTTAGCTGATTTTAATTTACCAACTTTTCTTAATACCGCATCAGACATGTGTAATATTATAGAAGTGTATGCCGATTCATCCATATTCTCTTTTTCTTTATTAGTCAAGTTTGCAAGAAAAGAGTCATCAATAGCTTTGGAAACTTTTCGTTGAACAAGAATACCTTTCATTTTTTGTTGCCAAATTGAAAAATCTCCTTTACCATTAAAGATACCCAACTCAAAGTGATGTGTCGACATTTTACCAAGTCCTTTAATACTTATGTGAGTTAATCTATTGTGCCACTTGTGTGTGTCATTAGTGTTGGTCAAATTTATAGAAGAAGTTGAGTTTTTAACAATTTTAGTAGTGATCACATAAATACCATTTCTTTTAGTACCTTTACATGTGAGAAGAGCACCCTTAATCATTTTAAGCATGTTGTTTCCAATTTTACCAGTAAAAACATCAGTTTCTAATGCTCCTACTGAAATAAGATTTCTAGCCATTTCAGGAATATATCTAACTTCATGTAATTTAAGCACATAACCAGTGCCAAATTTTAACGTGATATCACCAATGCCAGCAATTTTTTATGCATGATTATTGCACAAAATAGCATGACCACTTTCAGATTCTTGCATATTTTCAAACCAGTCATTATGTGATGAAACATGAAATGACGCACCAGAATCAAGTATCCATTCATTTAAATGTGATTTCACAATCAAATTTATTTCAGTATGTTCAGAGTTTAATAACACATATACTTCACAAAATTCATTAGAGGAAGTAATTACATTTGCCTCATCGTGAATCTTTTCCTTTTGTTTTTTTTCTCTCAACATAACAAATCTTTAATGAAGTGTCCAGTTTTACCGCAACCATAGCATTTTTTACCTTTAGTTTTATTTCTTGACCTAGATAAACTTCTACTTTTCATTTTACTACCAGACACATATTCACTTTGGTTGTCACGGGTTCTTGACTAAGGCCAACCTCTCATAATATGAACCTGACCACTTCTTCTCTCGACTCTCTCAGCTCGCATTTCTATTTCTTTACTTCTTAATGAGTCTATGACAATTTCAGGTGTCAAAGTATCTCTCTCATATTTAATAGCATTTTTAACATCTCTATAAGTTTCAGGGATAGCGTTTGACAAAATTATTGCCTTATACTCTTCAGATACTTTTTCACCACAGTTAGTGATATCTTGTACGAGTTTATTAAAGATATCCAAATTATCATCTAAATCTTTTG